CGTCCTACGCATATGAAAACACCTCGCCACCCCTGATATTAAATACTCCCCATAAGAGACCTGACATAGCTAACAAGGGGAGTGGGTGTTGGATATGGTAGTTTCCCAAAATAAGGGGACCCCAATATAGACGCCCATATACTATAGTCCTTAATATAGGGACCCCAAAAAAGGTACCCCTAATTTTGGGAAACCCTAACCTCTACGATCCCCCATATATTCCCAGTTTCCATTTCATTTTCCATTTTCTTTTCCATTTGATTCTCCATTATAGTAACCATAGGGGTACCCCTAACTTTAGGAAACTCCCATGTTAGCTGCACCTTGAGAAGGTTTTAGCAAACACTTTGGCTCTCTCACTTCAGCCAGCGTAATCGTGCCTGTCAGGCTGAGTTCAGTTGGCGTGTCGCCCGGAGTTATCAGCCTCACGGCATTCTGCTGTCGCACAAGGCGTTCCCTATGTCAGAATGTCCCTTCGAACAGGTAAGTACACCATGAGTGCTAGTACTTAGGTGTTGGGGTGCATTTGCTGCAGATGTCCTATTCTACATTTCAAAGATAAAGACTCTAGGGAGATATCATAGCGTGTTTGACTACACGACGGCCCCCTGTGTACCGGTGACCAGCCGCAGGCTATTGAGACAGTCCTGGGCACAAGGATCCCAAGCAAAAAAACGCGCGTGGCTTGGAGAAACTCAGGCTAACTTGGGGAATGTCGGCAGTGTTTCAGGGGTTGTAGAAGTAGGACTCTAGGATTCAACAAGTTTTCGGCCGTTCCCAAAATGGAGTAAAGCTACATAAGGATCCTTCAGATGACGGAAATCTATAACTTGGCAACTGCATTGCTGTAACCACTAACTTTAGGCAGACACATGTTCCCAAAACCAAGTGTCGCCCTTGTCTATCTTCAAATGCTGCCCAAAAGAACGATTTTTGGAAACCTACAAAGTCCCACAGGCTTTGTCACTTCGGCCGAGGCCTGGGGAGCAAAGAATTGGTGCCCGAACTGTCTGCGATGACCTGGCGCAAAGCGAAATGCTGGATCAAATCAGGTAGTGAAAAGTGAACGGCAATGAATAATAATGGCAATAATAAAGGGTCACATACTGAAAGATTGGCCGAACAGGTTGCCCAGGGCGCCTCGCTCCACTTGACAGCCAGTCTGCAGCACTCCTTCTGTGAGTTGGCCTGAATGCCAGAATTTGATTTCTTCACAAGGCGTCAGGGGGCGGCAGGGTCCCTGTGGCCGTCATGAAGGCAGCTCGCTACTATACAGAGGAGAAGCACCTTGGGAGCGGGCAACCAAGACCAACTCCTTACCCGCACCACCGTCGCCGGCATCTTCTTTCCTGAGCCACCGCCCCGAAAGTGTTGTCATTGCTCTGCTTACTACACCTAGCCTACATTCAATGTTAGTGATAGGTGTTGGCGTCGGCGATGTTGCCAAGGTCATGATGGCGGCGGGGGTGGTGGGTGTCGATGCGGCGGCGGCAGCAGGAGCAGCGGTGGCAGTGGTCGCTGCCGCCGCGGCTGCAGTTGCGGCTGTGGCGGCGGTGGAGATGGTGGTGACGGCGCTGGCGGTGTGGTCGCGGTGCTATGGACAGCAGCAGCAGCAGTTGGGGCGCTTCAGCCTTCTCCTTTTGAGTACCGGTTTGTTGGTCCTGTTTTGAATCAGGCACCTTAGATTTGGTTCAGTGCTGACACGCATGTCTTCATAATGAGCCAAGATTCCACCGGACGAGAGTTGGCCTCAGTGCTACTCTGAATCTACGTGCAGATATGCGCAGATCTCATATTTACATCCAACAAAACTGCATTCACTTCAACTTGTTTGAGGCTGTCTCTGCTGTGAAGGGGGATGGACGGGGACGGGGCTCCAATCGCAGCAGGTCGGACAATTTTGCAGGTCTCAATGCATAACCTAAATATGGTGGTCGATCAGTCAGGATCTCAACAATGTAGAGACTGCCTGAAGGGTTGGTCTCTCCACCAGAACTACTATTGACCACATCCTTCTACGGCTGCAGGGAAAGGGGCGGGTCATCGCCCAATCTCTTTTAGACAGAACCACAGGAAGGGGTCTGAAACTTTGGTGATGCTTTGGACTTACATCCTTGCTTTGGACTTGCTCTTTTGGATTCACAAAGAAAGGAGCCCAATTCTGGAACCCCCTACATAGCTTTGGGGCTGTGCACTGCAGCTGAGATCCCCGGCAACACTGCGGCTTCGGACCAAGCATCTTCAGGGCAGAGGACCTCAGCTAGGATCTTGGCTTAGGTTTTGGAAGTTTAGGATTTAGGGCTTAGGGATTGTTGGGTTTGGATTTGGGGGTCTTGGGTTATTGGCTCAGTTTAGGGATTAATTGAGGGGTTAGGGTTTAAGGTTCAAGGTACTTTTCAGACTGTTAAAGAACTACACCACGTGTGTCTGACAAGAATGATTCTGGGTGGACAGAAACTTGGCGCAGGTATCAACAACATGATGACAAACTCTTCTCCCAGACTCTGCCAGCGAGTTGTCTAGCTAATTGACTGCCGAGATCATAGACATGCCATGCCTCTCAGCTTTGTTTCTGCTTCGTTTGTTGATCTACTGCCAGGTTAGGACCACCTACTTCCTAAAGGGTCTTTAGTCGTCATATTCTATTAAGTTCCTAGTGTATTCTTGGGGTTCCCTGTTTGTGGTTCCCAATCAAGTGACTTTACTTCCAATATTGTTATGTCAAGACCTTTCGCATTAAGCTGTCAGACTTGCGCAGCTGTCTCAGAGCCCCACCGAGACGTCTTTGCCTTGCAAAATGACATCCCAAATGCTCTGAAGGATCACATCCTCCTCGACCAGCAGGGTGGGGCGGCTGGTGCTGGCTACACAAGTGATGTTGATCATTTCCCTGAATAGCGGGACCCCAATATAGACCCCAAAACGGTATTCTAGAGACCCCCAAAATGGTATCCCTGATTTTAGGAAAGTCCCATTTAAGGCTTCAATGGTGTTGGCTTTTAATTGCTCACTGTTAATCAATTTCCTTCACCCTAAACCCTAAACCTAATCTGTGGACCTTCTGTACAAGTCAGTTTTGGCACGCCACTCCGAGGGACTCTTGAAGGGGCTTGGAGCATGGTAACCCAAAACGGCTCTTAGTGGGCAGGCTTCTTTTCGGGGGAGGACATCGCCCTGAAACCTTGGCCTCCAAGCCAGAAAGTCCAGGCCCCTCAACCACAACCCCTGGACCAGAAACCCCCGAACCCCTACACATATGAAACCCCAAACCCCTAATCATCCCAAAACCTAAGACGCTTGGGTAGCATGTCTCCTTCAGCTGCAAGCCAAGCTGCTCCAGAACCTGTTCAGGGTTTGGGGGTTGGGGAGGGGATTTAGAGTTTTGGGGGTTTGGAGCTATGGTTTTGGGGCTTGGAGGCTGGTACTATTCATCAGGACCCAAGATCTTTAATCAGTTGTCGGACAAAAAATGGGCCGAGCCTGCTGACGGAGTGGGGGCATCTTGCCAACTTCTCTGCTGGAGCCAACAACAGGCTAGCGGCAAGTAAGTAGAATTGCTCGGTTGCAACAATGCAAGGGCTTGCAGCAGCCGTCAGAGTGTGCGTCCAAATGAAATTCTTGCCGGTGAGATGCTTCTCTCTCATCAGGGCAATAACTGCTTTTTGCACAGTCCTGCACATGCTGCATCTTGATTCTGCGCAGTAGGGTCTTTGCATGCAATCTTCTCAGCGCTGTCTCCTGTGGCATCATGAAGGATAGCGCGACTGAAGCGTTGTGGCATGTGGAAGCACTGGCCTTGGCCTGGTATGTGCAAAAAATGTCCCCCCAAGGTTTGGAACGTTCTCAAAAGGATCTTGTTGGTTGGAGAGTAGACAGATGGAAAATCCAAAGAAAGCCACCTGGAAGAGGCCCCTCATGGATTTCTAGTGGGTCTTTTCTGTCTGGGGGGGGCCCTTAGCAACCTAGCTTGGTAATTTGGGGGACCCGAAGAAAATCATTCATGGACATCCCCCTAAGCTCAGCATTAATCAGCCTCCACATCCCCCTAGGCTCCCCGGTAATCAGCCTCAAACAGCCCTGACTTATTACACCCGAATAACCCCAAATAGGAGGGAATTGGGTATAGCTCCTATACAACATCTATGTAGCCCCTATAAATGGTCAGAGTTCAATTCCTGGTCCCCCATATGAGACACCAAATATCTACACTCCCCCCCTTCCTACAGGAACCCATGAGGCATGATCTGAGAGCAGCACATGCAGCTGGCGGCGCAGCGTGGGCCTGTGCGATTTGGAGCTTGGGGCTCACAAACAAACAAGTCACATATGCTATCGTCTAAACTGCTTAAAGCGGTGTTTTAGGGGAGTAAAAGAGGACTTATTTAGGGGGATCTTATTAAGGGGGATACTAGGAGTTTAGAGTATTGCTCACATAGTTCTTTAACTCTAGACCCGACACTCTGAGAATCATGCACATGCGAAATTACAGAGTCTCCGAAAACAAGAGAGGCCCGAAGGGTTTATGCGCATATGGAGATTGCCTGCAAGCGCGAGCAGTCATAGCGGTAGGAGGAGAAGGAAGAGCAGGAGGAGCATTAGCTGTAGCGATGGTCACCCCTATAATACCAATGAGGGGTTATACAGGGATTATGGGGTTATATTGGGGTTATAGGGTTATATTGGGGCTACAGAGGAATAATGGAAAATAAAATGGAAACTACTATATAGTATAATAGGATTCTACCATGAAGGGCGGAGCTAGTCTGCACTAACTACCAGCCACCCCATCCGCTCAATGTCAACCCCCACCGCTTGCCATTGCATGTGCCCCAAACTGCCCGATAGCTGGCATTAGAATATAGCGGGCCGTTGAATCGAATGTCAGTGGCCTGCTGAATACTCGAATAAGTCAAACTCACAATCCCGACATGACTCGTCAGGTTCCGAAACCCTAAGCCTTGTCCTCTCAACCACTCAGCCTGAACCTTGAACTTTCAATCCTAAAGCCTAGACCCCAAAACCCTTGACCAACCAATCTCCCAAACCCTAAACCACCTCAAACCCATAATTGCCGCAAGAGATTTCAGAGAGCGCGCCTGGGTGCTTTTGGAGGTTTCCTCCCGCACAATTTTTGCCCAACTGGGCTCCTTCCACTGCACCTACGGGGAGTTGCAGGGTGTTGGGTTTAGGGTGTAAGCATTAGGGCTTAGGATCCAGGATTAAGGGGTTTAGGGCTTACCATTTAGTCCTTGGGGCCTTCAGGATTTAGCTGCACATGGATCTTCAAATAGAAGACTACATACCTGCTGGTTTGTTTTTTTGCAGTCGTGGCATAAAGATGCTGCTCCTTTTGGAGCCCGCAAGTTTGGCAAAGCATGCGTTTGCGAACACATCACAATCTCCCTCCTCATCTGCCCTTACCCTAAAGCCTCCCACCCCCATCGCTGTCCCATCTGCTGGTTGCTGGTCGGGATTGGGGAGTATTATATGATATGGGGCTACTGTAAGGATCCTTTCCCACAGTAGCCAGTAGGCAATCTGGCCTGCAGGTCCTTTCTGAAGACGGGCAGGCCCTGCGTGAGCATCGTCTCGCCCAGCTGTCCGAAGTCGTTACTGCACAGCACGGGAAATGGTATTTTGTGGAAACAAGGGTTTGGGTGCTTGTGCAGACCCCTTTTTGCAGTGACCCAAAACCAAAGAGATCATGACAGAAACTCTTCGCCTCGTCCCTAAGCCTGGCTCCCTAAACCCTAAGCCGTGATCCCTAAACCCCAATCCCTGATTGCCAAAAGTTGAACCTAAAACCCTCAAAACCCTGACTAAACCCTAAAGCCTGATCCCTTACACCTTAATCCCTTGTCCCCTCATGTAATTAGGGCTTAGGGTACAAACATGCAGGTTGAATGTCATTTTCCTGCTTTCTTTGCATTGGGCTTCCATTGTTGGGCCTAAAGGATCCAAAAAATACTATATACCCCCAAACCCTAAGCCCTAAAACGCTTAGCATTATTAACCCTGTATACCCCTGAACCCTGAACCTACAGTTATTAACCCCGTATACCCCCATATTTCCATATATATATATATACATAAACCCTAAACCCTAAACCACAACCCCTAAACCTTAAACCCACACCCTAAACCCTAACCCTAAACCCTAAACCACAACCCCTAAACCCTAAACCCAAAACCCTTAACCCAAAACCCTAGACCCCAAACCCTAAGCCCTAACCCTAAACCGTAAAACCCTAAACCCTAAGCCCCTCTAGTTCGGCCTGTACACTCTGAGTTCGCGCAGCTTTGGGGCGGCTCCAGCCGCAAGGGCTGCAACCAAGGCCTCCATGGCCAAACTTTCAGATCTAGGGCTTAGGGGGTTAGGGTTTAGGGGTTAGGGTTTTGGGTTTTGGGTTAAAGGGTTTAGAGGGTCAATATTGGAGTTATATTGGGGTATATTGGGATAATGGAAAAGAAAATGGAAACTACTACAATGGGAATGGGGTTATATAGGGCTTAGGATTTTCAGGGTTTAGGGTTTATAGCCTACTTATGAAAAGTCCAGGGATTGGGGTCTTTCGGGTCAAAACCCTTTGGGCTTAGGGTTTGTAAGGTTTCTGAGGTGCAGGGCTTGGGATTTTTAGGGTTAAGAGTTTGGAGTGTAGGTGTTTGGGTTTAGGGTTCAAGGCTTAGGGTTTAGGTGTGAGGGTTCAGGGTCGAGGGCTTAGGGCTTAGGGTTGAAGGTTTAAGATTTAGGGAACACATCTAGCGTCAGAAGGTTTGCGGATTTCATTTTTTGAATCCAAGGTGTAGGATCTAGGGCTTAGGATTCAGAGCTTGTTGCTTTAGGGCTGTGGGTTCAGGGGTTTAGGGGTTTGGGGTTTAGGCTCTACTTGCCTCCCGTCAGCTTGAACTGAAGGAATGGGTGATTGGGATCATTCTGGGGAGTCCTATGAAAATTGTTTTTGATGCATCTCTGTATTCCCTTCAGGGTTGAGGGTTGAGGGTTTAGGGTTTAGGGCTTAGGATTAATGGCTGCAAGACTCCCCCATAAGGACGACGATCACTTAGAACCTTACAGAAAGGGCAACCCGAGGGGAAAATCCTTAGCACTGTTCTAGAACGTCCTTCCCCCCACGCAAAACCCTACTACCCCCTTTACGGAGTTTAGACGCCAAACCCCATTTCCTAAACCCTAAACCTCATATAATCTCCTATAGGCCCTCCTTTAAGGAGTTTAGACCCTAAACCCCAAATCCTAAACCCCAAACTATATAACTCCCTTTTAGGGAGTTTGACTATAGCTTAAACAAGTGTCATATAGGGTGTAGGGTTCAGGGTTTCCCAAAATTATGGGTACCTTTTTGGGGTCCCCATCATAAGGATTGTAATATTTGGGGGTCTATGTTGGGTTCCCCTTATTTAGGGAATGTATCATATGCATGGGAACAACATCTTTATTGATTCCTTTAAAGGCCTACGGCAAACGGAAAGCCAGCAGGAGCAATTCCAAGGCCCAAAAGGGCAGTTGCGCAAGAGAACCTGCACAATCCGTAGGAGAACAATAATGCTGTGACATTCCTGCGCAAGTACAACGTCACCCCAACACTGTGCTGAGACATACTTACTCGTGGCTAGCAGGGGTCAAGGAATGGAAGAATTGTTATTGCACGTTAAATACGGGCTGCTACAGAAGTCTCTTCCACTGTGCCCTACGGACCACCAGCCCACCAGCAAGGTAACAGTATGGAGACTGACCCAGCTCAGCTAAGGCGGCCTGTATGCCTGAGTCTTTGATGTGGTTGTGCGAGAGGTCAAGCTCAGTCACGTCCTGCGCGCTCATCATCCCTTATTTGGAGGTTCGAGGGGTAGTTGCAAGGAGGTGAACAGTCACCCGAAATCAACTGACTGATTACAAGCACTTGGAGGTTCGCGGGTAGTTTGAAGTAGGTGAACAATCATCCCAAATCAACCTAGAATAACTACTTATGGGGGCATGCATCCGACTTAGAACGGCAAGCACAACTGTCCTTGGACCTCCTAGCATCTTCTGTGGAAGAGGGGGAGAGAGAGACAGAGAGAGAGAGAGAGAGAGAGAGGGAGAGAGAGACTGCGCCAAAGTTATGACGGTCCAGGAAGATCCCTTCAGAGGAACCAGGTTTGCGGGAAGCAAATGCAAGTTTCCATAATAACAGTGGGACCCGTCATATTCCCCCAAATATCATAACCGATAACCTTCATCATAGGTACCCAGAAAGGCCTCCCTAGTTTTATAACCTCTCAAACAGATGGGCCGGTCCACTTCAAGAGGTTGCATAGGCGCGCCTGGTTCCCTTTAAGCTTCTCGATGACTTCCGCAAGGTCCTCATCAGTTGCCTGTTGGCACTTCGCATGCATCAATGCTGGAACACTCCTGACGTTGTCACGAACACCTCAATCTGTAAACCCTTAGCCCATCTTTTCCGTTGTCATTCAATCTTTAAGTGCTAGATCTGAAAGCTCTGAATCCCTAAGCCACCGCGCGGCCTGTAGGAAGCTGAATCTCATGGACTGCACACCTGCGCATGGGCGCATGAAATGCCAAGCATGCCAGGAAAAAATCGGTGCAATGCATCTGACGTAAGGATACAAGTCAGGGATTCAGTAAAATGCATCCAAACGGCATGGGTTCCCTGTAACGCTCCAGGCGAGCGTTTGCGCGCCAGTTCATGCAAATGTGCGGAAATCACTGGCCCTTCGAGTGAATTGAAGTGTCGGGAGCACCGCTAAAAAATGCGGCATGTTTTGTCCCGTATTCAGTCGAGCATGGACGTTATTATCCTTTGGGTATGGCATGGATGCTCTGGTAACCTGTATGCGTTCGGGCATGGACGGTATTATGGTCTGGGCATGCATGTTCTTGGTTCCCGCACGCAGTCGAGCATGGACGTTATTATCCTTTGGGCATGGATGCTCTTGCTTCCTGTATGAAAGTGGTCGTATGCACGAAATGATAGCCCCGCCAGTACTTTGGAAGCTTTTCTACAATTCAATGCCTGAAAATACTGCGCCTGCCAGCATTTTTGCCCTTCTGAAACCCTTTCCAGCCGCGCGCAAACACGCGACTGGAGGGTAGGATAAAAACATGAGTCAAAAGGAACCCCCATGAACCCCCCATATCCGGCAATCAGCCGATGAATTGAGATTTAGTTTGGGCCTGGCGCAAGCGCTTCATGCCAGCGGGCAGAATCCCTCACCATGTTCTTGTGGATGTCCTGCGAGACAGCATTGAAAGACAACACAAACACAAAGCTTGCAAGTTTTGCAAGTTTTCTGAATAGCATTACATTTACAAGGCTATGCTGGTTGTCCTGGAAACTGCTACTGGCGTTAACCTTGCCCATGTGCATATGAGAAGCGTGACAGTGCACATCTGCAGTGTCCGACTTGTGGTTGGAGGTCTCCATGTCGTCCAGCGTGCATCCAGGGGAGTTGTATTGACAGTCCTGGATTTCGCAGGACTACAGGCAAGGGGCCAGCCTCAACTCAAAATCTAGTTGAGGGTTGGGGGGCTGCGCCATGGGCCTTGGCATGCGCTAAAATCCTTTCTTCAGTGGACCCCTCCCGCACAGCCAAACCCGGCTTACATCTATGAAGCGAGGCTCCTGCATTGTGGACCAGAGGGGGCCGAACACGGAGAAAGGACATCCCCTCTGCAATACAAAGGAAGAGCGTATTCAAGGTCGAACCTCGGAGCCCTCAGCATGGGATGCCCAAAGGAGCCACCCAACCATCAGAATTCGGGTATCAAAACAATCCACTAGCATCCTTCAAGAGGGCCCGTAATAGCAAAGTCACCCTAGGACACCTAAACATCCCTGGAGGAGGGCACAGAGGCCCCCATTTTGAGAATCTCCCGCTTGTAAGATGGGTTGGCCCGTGATACCGGTTACTGCTATGCTGCATGATGCATGATGGGAAGAACCAAGAAAAACGCATGATCATGACAACCTTTAAGAGTCTAATGACTGGGCCCTGGAACCACCCCAGAGATATTTGGGGATTCTAGGGTCGCATCGAAGGATAGCATGGTTTCATGACTGCGAGCAATATGGCGAATGATAAAAAGGAGGATGAACATGAAAAGTTGCCGTCCTTGGGCCACTCCTTTGTGTACCACGGCGGACGCTCAATGCCATTGTTCTCAGAAGCTCCACGGTTCATGCCGGCATTTAGGTCCTGAGCAAGAATGGGACCACATGCAAGACTCCCCCAAACTAACATGGAGCCCAGAAGAGGCCCTAGAGAGTTTACTTTCCCCATAGGAAGGCTATGAACCCTAGACCCTAAACCCTTTGGGGCTTTATGTTAGTATGGGGGAGTTTAAGCTCTATGGCAGGTCCTGGTTGAGTTTGTGCTCGGTGTGCGCCTGCCAGCTCATGTTTGCCATTGCCCTGAACAACTGCATGGACGGTTTAGGAGTCAGGGTTCAGGGTCTGCATGAGCTTTAATTTGTGCTATGTAGGGTATAGCGCGTAGCGGAAGTACTCAAGCATGATTACTCCAACCCCATTTACGTTATCAGCAGAGAGGCATAAACGCCTGTGGTGACATAGAGATTTTGTCGTCGGTAGGTATCCTGTTATCCCTGCGTAGCATGAGCCCCACATGCTCCCTCTACTATCCGGTTCATAACCCCCCTAGATCCTACACACAAACCTGACCCTTACACTCCTACACTGTAGAATCTGAACCTGAATCCAAAACAACACACAGGACAGAAATCCTGATTCTTACCAGGTACAGACAAAGACACCTAAACCCTAACCCCTAAACTTCCCCAACCCAACCCCTAAACCCTAAACCCCCACCGTAAATCCTGCGGTCTCCCTGGCCTTGTGCGTGTTGGGATCCACCTTGCCTTCCGACGACCCTTCGGGGCCATACAGGGGCTTGTCCTTTGCCTCAGTCAGCACAGCTCAGTACAGAGGTTGGGGTCTGGATTTTAGGATGTCGGCTTTAGGTTTCAGGGGTAACGAGTAGGGTTTGGCTTGTAGCAGGGCTTGGGGTGTAAGGTTTAAGCAGAACCGGGAAGCCGTGACACTTCTTATCAGGGAGGGGGTTGTGTTTGTGGAGCTATACAGTTTGTTCAAAGCCTGCACTGAAAAATCCTGCTTCTGTGAAGTCCGAACCTCAAAACCCTGAGACTCATGAATCTGGACTGCAAGGCCCCAGACCCTAAACCCTTGGCCATGGACCCTAAACTCTAGGCTCATAACCCCAAGCCCCAAACTCAAATTGATGTTCAATGCGATTCTGGAAAATTAATTGCACCCCTAAACCCTAAACCCTGAACCCCAAACCTTCAGCCCTAAACCACCAATCCTAGATCCCTTTCTAAGCCTCGCTCCTTCTCGAGGAATCCTCGGCTCAGGCTGTTCGAGGGAGCTGCCGAGTAGCCCGCGCTTGCCTTCAGACTCAGTTGCTGTTAAGGAACCTTACTTAACTTACCATGATTTGGGTATGTAGGGTCTAGGGAAGTAAATTACCATAATATGCGTATATAGGGTTTAGGGAATTAAGTTACCATGATATGGGTATATAGTGAATAATAGGGTGTCCTTATTGTAGTTACTTACTTTAAGTTCCTTATCCTTGACCGAAGGGGCAGGACGTCACGGTTTTGGGTTCAGGTTTAGGGTTTGTAGGGTTCGGAGGGTAAGGCTTGTGGCTTGGGCGTTGGGGGGGAAAGGACCCAAAGAGGATTATATATGGAATATGTGGAGACTTTAGAGGAACCATGTAGGGATTCTAGAGAGTTCGCACAAAGATTCCCAGGAGATGGCGCGACGTGGGTCTCCGTTTAAGGCCGATGCTGTGATGAAGCCTGAACCCGTTACACCCTGACCAAGAGAGCACATAAGCTATAGTCTAAACTCCTAGCATCCCCTTGAAGAAGCCTTATTATACTACTCTCCTATACAACCCCCTATATTACCCCCTTGAAGGAGTTAAGACCATAGCTCACACGGCAACAAAACAGCTGCATTGGCAGGCAGAGCATGGGGACTCTATGAACTGTAGTCTAAACTCCCGAAATTGGGTATATAGGGGAGTAGTATAGGGCTCATCAAGGGGGATACTGGGAGTTTGTAGACTACAGCTTATGTGTGACCGGATGTTTCTTGTGGGGCCTGTGTTCCTTTTTGAAACCCCAAAACCCTAAACCCTGAACCCTGAACCCCCAAAATTTGGGCACCCTCACCTCCACAATCTAGCAAATCTCAGATCCCAAGAAAGAAGCCTACAGGGGCTAGACTGATTATCATTTTGAGGTCTATTTTGACGTATCTTAGACCATAAGTATACCAGGAATCTGTGACCATAATATTGTTTATCGTCCATATGAGCCATAGTCTAAACTCCTAGTATCCCCCTTAATATACCCTATAGTAGTCCCCTATATAATCCCTTATGTAACCCCCTTTAAGGAGTTTAGACTACAGCTCATATCAACCCCTAGTTGACGCTAAATTCAAGTTCATGTTCAGATGCCTTTCCCATTTGATTCTCCACAGGGCTTAGGGATTTCGGGTTTAGGGTTTTAGTCCCCCTTAAGTAGATAGAATATGGGGTATGTGGGGATCTTATTATAATACACCCAAAGACAAATTCTCTCTACTTAAGGGGGGCTATAAGCCCTGAACCCTAAACCGTTGACAGAGCAAGCCTCGACTGCCGGCTCATCCTCCTTGCAGCAAGCTGCTCCATGATTAGGGCCCTTCTCCAAAATCACGGGGTTTTTTGTTGTAGGAATGAACCAAATCATACATTTTAAAGGTTTTGTTGTAAGAATGAAAACCTGTCCCATAAATCTTAAGAAGCCAAATTCATGATCCAGGGTTTCGGAGCTTCTTGCTAAAGGCCTCTATACTTACCCCTGGTTAGCAGGGAACGAGACAATGGAAAATGAGGTTGAAACTGCTGTGTTATTGTGAAGTAGATGCTATAGATCTGGGGTTTACGGTTTACACCAACCAACAAGATAGGCTCCTCATGTGTTGGGACACCTAGACCCCTGGGGGGATCTGTATAGACCCATAATTATAGCCTCCATATACTCCTTACATAACTTTCCGTATGGTTCTAGGGGATCTAATTTTCAGATCCCCTGGGGGATCAGGGCACTGACCACGGTCAGCGTTCACCTGACTAGGTGTTAGTCTCCTCACTACTCTGCTCAAGGGCTGCAACCTCGATTTCTTCGGTTACCATACCACTCCTACTGCTACTGCTTCTTTCATTGCTAACACCTGCACCATGGCGACCATCAGAAAGCAGACCGCAGCTGAGTGGATGACGATCTCTTCCACCAGCACCATGACTTGTCTTGAAGACGCGCTCAGCGGCCCGACGTTATTTGTGCTGGCTTGAGAAGCCTTCTGCAATGATCTTGTAGACTCGCTAGTAATCTTGTTGTTGTGCACTCCAAAAAAGGATTCTTGAGCTGACTCGAAGCAACAAGACTTGCGTTGATGATGAAGGTCCTGATTGCGCTGGCACCATATGTTACTCGTAGATGACTCTCATAACAAGTTCATTCTTGGAGTTTTCATAACAGGTATCTGTGCGCCCCCGCTTTGGGTTTAGTTGACGCAGAGTGGCCCCCAACCACGGCAAGTAATCCTCGCTGCGCTCGAGCCGGCCTGAGCCAAAATGATATTTCCCGACCAGGTACTAGGGTAGCCCGGAACCTCAATGCCATGCTGCCAAGGAGGATACCCTAGCAAGCGCCACACCTCGCAGGAGCAGGGACCCTAAACCTTCAACTTTAAACGCAAAATTGCATCTTGCTGCAAGGACCTCATAAAAGGGCATCTGGGCACTGCGGCTGGTACTGGGAATCCTGTAGCAAGAAAAGAAAATTCTCCGTGTGTCGAGCAGAGGACAGGATCCTCTTCGGTTTCAGGGTTTGGGGTCTGGGGTTTAGGGTCCACTTGCTGATGTCATTAAACCCGATAACAAGCCCCGCAACCCCTCCCCCCACCCAATACCAAACCACTCCGATACCGCGGCAGGTGATGTAGAGTACGACTGCTCGATTACATATTAAGCGGATAATTCATGGTTTTTTGGGAGAGAGGTTGATACTAGGGGGAGGTCATGACCGGAGCCGTCTTTGGTATCTTGTGACTATATCATTTTGGGGTTCGGTAGCAAGCCCTCACTTTCACGACTACCCAACCCTATGCCATACTCGTGATAGGTTTAGGGACCCTATATAATTGGTTTCTCATGGCTTTATAGGGAATCTCGAGGACTTATTATGGTGCATAACTAATTCTTCAAAAAAACAACTCCTAGGAGTTCCTCAGTATCGCCTTATTTTCGTCACGCAGCATGCATTACCATGCATGATTACTGGTACCGGGAGCCTTCGGAATGTTCTGGCCAATTGCCCTGGCCACTTGCCCAGGAAGAGCTGTACAGGGTTGAGGCACCTGAACATCTAATTTGGATGCATGGGGAGTGGAGATCCCACAACGAAAGATCGTGGCTGCTGTCAGCACTCGAAGTGGGCGTACGTTGGATAGAAATGTTTGGCTGGTGTGACATGTGGTGGATCCACTATCACTTTTAGTGATGACAGCTGCCTAGGTAGGTCAAGCCACCTTCTGAAGCAGAAATGCGCCTCAGACGTGGTGCAAGACCTTATGGAAAATCTGGAAATGTCGAACAGGGTCGGGGCCCTGGTCTACGCGGGTGGCCCATTGAGCTCCCCGACATGTCTTCTTTGCTCTAGACGGCTTCACGCTTCCCCCCTGTGCAGTGCCAACCTACCGGCAGCATGGGACTTCAGCCACTATTTCGGCTGCCTCTCAGAAGCGAGTTCCGCTGGGTCTCAAAAGTAGGGTCCCCAGTGTGTCCCATCGTCCCTACAAAAAGAAGAATCCCTCCAAAAAAGGGACCTTAATTTTGAGACAGCCGGGAGTTATGCAAGGGACAAGGGCGTCCTCGTCCCAGGCATCAAAGCGCGCAGTGCAGCTTAGAAAGCCCAGGCTTTCCTTGCCGCCCGCCACCACTCCGAGCGATCAGCACATGGGTTATGTTATACTATATCATATTTTGTCATGTTATATGATATGATACTCATGGCGATTACTTTGGGATTTTACACGGGCAACGTCGTTTTGGGCATGCATCCTTCATTTTCGGCTACGAAGGCTGGAGCTCAAACTTTGGAAGCTACCCATTGGACCGCTGTCACCGATTTGGTGGAAAGAAGCAATATGTACAGGGCAATGAATTCACTGGAATTTGGCCTTTTGGGCTCTGGCTCCCACACATAACCTCTGACTCTGTACACAGTATCAAAAGGTTATGCAACAGAGACTGCGCTCTGTTAGCGTGGACAAAAATTGGACGCGACTACATCAATTGGTCCACCAC